CCTACACCGTTGCCAGCAACTCACGGCTGCCCAGCTCCAGGTTGAGCTGTTGTTCAGTATCTTAGCTGTGGAGGGCAATGTCACTGGCCCTCATATGTGGGATCCGAACCGGGGCCCTCTGGCGTCCCAAGCCAGTTCTTAACCATCGCGCCACTCGGCCGGCCCTTCACTGCAATTCTTATCTATTTCCAGCAGAGTTTGGCATTGCTCAACTTATTGCATGACTAATTATGACAATGTTAACATGTCAGAATCCATCTCTAATATTCTAACAGTGAATTCTACAAAAATAGGATGAATGCAATCAGAAAAATATGTGTATAACTGGAAGAAAGTAGCAAAAGGGATAATACCCACAAATTTCTGCTGCAGATTTATAGAATATACAATACCAAAAGAATATGAAGCTACATTTATAACTGAGAAAAGGTCTTTGGACAAACACTGATGACTTCTACACCTTCATATTCTTTCTACACTATTCTTAAATAGTGGCCAGAATTAAATGGTCATGATAGTTTTCAAAGCCCTTCAGCAATCTAATCAATCTCCTACTGTTTACCAACAATTTTTTGTTCAGAATCCCTCTTAAGAGGTACTTAGACTCAGAGAAAATATTGTGACACATTGTGACTGGCACAGTGAGACCCAGGGAAAAGTACTCCAAGAAAATTGTCTGTCAATGACCAAGTAGATATGGAGGCAAACTTACAGGGAAAGACATGAGGAGTTCAGCTTTTGTCTTCTGGATTAAGAGAAACTAATTCTAAAAAATGTGTATTTCACAATAAAAAATAATAATAAAAAAAAAGAGAGAGATACAATGATGAATAAAAACCCACAGGGTTAATCCATTGAAGCAGTCTATTTTTAGGCAAGTCTTTGTAAATCTATCTGATGATTATGTGATAAGAACACTGTCTCCTCATCATTCTAGAATACTATTTATTATAACGTAGTTTCTACAAAGAGCAAAAAGCTCCTGAAATAAAGTTTATCAGACATGGAATTGTAGAATTATATCAAAGTACTTGAGTCTGCTCAGCTCTTATTCCATTATTTACTGTCACATAGAAGAGATCTTTGAAAATACCACAGGAAGAGATATTAAGTCTTCGAAGACTCCGCCACCATAAGTGGTTTCTGCTCCACTTCCCCTGCAGTCTCAGGCACTGTGTCACTCAGAACACAGAAGTACACAGCTGAGTCCCTCAAATGCGCCAAGGATTTCCTCAGGTTGAAAGAAGATTCATCCTCCTTAATTTCAGCCTCAAAATCTTTGATGCCTTTAACCAAGGTGTCCCCTGCATAGTACTTGAGGAGAAGCTGGGGGCCTTGGCTGGGGTACTGCACGTACCAGAAAAGATAAGTAACTCCAATATAGGAATACTTGCATCTGAGCTCCAGTGAGTCTCCTTCAGACACAGTGAAGTAGCTGTCAGGCTGGGTCACTGTCTGGGCTCTGGTGTCTCCTGCAAAATCAATTGTTTTATCAGTGAAAACAGTGCAGAAGTATTTCTATGAGAAACATTTCTAGGTGGCATTATAGAAATATAGACCATTATGAAATTTTACTCACTTGCGACGAATACCATCTCCAATATTAAGATGAGGGACAGGAGCATGGTTGAGCAGTTGAAACGCTGTGGGCTCTTTTCTACAAAATCTCCCCTGATGAGGCAGGAAAGTAGCTGCAGAGACTAAGCCCTTGGAAGTAGGAGGTATGAGGAAGATTAGACAGGACAAGTTCCTTGCTTCGATAAAAATACAAAAGCTGCTCAGATGAGTATGGAGCTTCTGAATCTGATTCTTGTCACCTGCCTCTGCAAAGAACTCAGGCAGCTGCAGGGAGGAGGAGCTGAGCAGATGATACTGATCAACAAGATCTCTAGTTTGTGCAGCATCGCCCTCTGGAGTTCAAGCGCAGAATCAAAGGTCCATGGGCACCACCAAGAAGTAATCAGTGTCTTCCTTCTGTTTTCTGATAACATGACATATATCAAAACTTCCACACAATATGTTTCTTCCTTCTCAAATCTGTGATGGCGCATTAGTTCGCGAGTCCATTGGAAATGTGTTGTCATATAAAAGTGGACTAACAAGTGACTCTCTGAGAAATCAGTATTTAAAAAGTATATCAAATGTGGAATTCAAGTCCATGAGGAGAGTTTGGAATCAGGCCATTTGCCTCAGACTGAGTTTTGGATGGCCCTGTGCTCCCATGTGGCGATGGAAAATAGCAGAGGTATTTCCTTTGCCAGATGCTCATGCACCCACATGATGTTCATGAAACCTTTTAGAGGAAAAGACAGGGCCCATAAAATGAGATTATTGCTGCTAGGTGGCAAGGAGTAACTCTGGATAGGAAGGCTTTGCCCTAGGGCTGAAGGGCATACAGCCACACCAGGAAAGAAAGCACTGAAAACCTGAGAATAGAGAAATTCTCTGCTTTCTCTGTGGGGCTTTTTGACAAAAGTCACAATATTTTTTTTCTTTGATTCCAGGAGCTGGAGCCCATCCTCCTTGGGTTCTCTATTCACTTGTTCATTCCTGTCATGATTGCCTTCTACCTAGAAGATTTAGTAATGCTGTCACTTTAGGAATTTGTAAACCAGAAGTGTGAGCTTCTGATTCCTGGAGCTATTTATCACTTCCCATCTCTTCTAAATGGCTTCCTAAGTAAACAAAAAAAAATACAAAAGAGAATATACCAAAATCCATGAGTAAAGAGAACAGGGATCATGTTCAGATGAGAGATATATATCTATAACCAGAATACAGAAAGTAGATGACATCATTGAGGATTAAAGTTAGGACAGAAAAAACATGGTCAAAAATAAGCTATGAGGAGCAATTCCTGCTAGCTTTCAGGCTGGTGGTCATTTTAACTCCTCTCAATGTTGCCCAGCATTGGCAAAGCCCAGCATGTACAAAGCCAAAGGCCACGTGATTGTCTGAAGCCTTGGAACAGTGCTGTTTCCTCTGTACTGGAAGAATGCCAAGAAACTCTCCAATCTCTTATGGTGGCAAAAGCAACATCTCATATTGAAGAAGAATAAGGTCAGAAATAGGTAATTCTCCCTTAAGAATGTTTACAGGATTATAAGCAATATATTGATTGCCAGAAAGAGTATAGTCTCCACAAAGAGCCCAAAACATTGTAAACCATGATCTATTAAAAACAAGTAAGGGCCGGCTGAGTGGTGCATTGGTTAAGAGCTGGCTTGGGGCGCCAGAGGGCCCCGGTTCGGATCCCACATATGAGGGCCAGTGACACTGCCCTCCACAGCTAAGATACTGAACAAAAGCTCAACTTGGAGCTGGGCTGCCATGAGTCGGCGACGGAGTAGGCTACAACCCCTGCTGCAGTGGGTTGCCATAGGCTACCGTGTGTAGCCAGCAACCAGCATAAGTGGCCAGCAGCTGCAGTGAGCAGCCGTCCAGAAGCCGGGGACTGATCTGCCTCTCCTGGGAAGAGCGCAATGATGGTGCCAACTTGGGCCAATGAAGCAATGTCTTCCACAACTAGACTGAAGAACAAAATGGCAGCAACTTGTCTGTTCCCTTTCCCCCAATTCCCCAGCACTGTTCCCATCCCCCAATTCCCCAATAAAAAANACAACTGACGCCACCTGAGTAACAGGCTGAATGGCCACAGGCTTCATGAGAGCTAACAGATTTATTAATTAAAATCTATTTTTCCTCATTCAGGGACCTTAGGGATACAGATGATACCCCAACAAGATTGCCAGTCACAACCAAAGAAGCCAACACGGTCTTCCAGGCGGAACTCAAGACCCCTCCCTCTCATATGAGATCAGCTCCGGTGAGAGTTCCATGAATCCCCCAATAGGCAGGGACAACTCTACACTCCTGCCCAGCAGGAAGCAGATACAGAAGAAAAGACCTCCTGCCTCTCAACTTCCCATAGAGATTTTATGGGGATCACTGTCTCTCAAGAGGAAACTAGGCAGGCAGTTAGAGGCAGGCATTGGGTCTCTGCATTCCTGTACATTCCACAGAGTGCCACCACCCAGGTGCCTTTCCCTCTACACCCCAAACTCCCCCCTTGTATTGTAATTATCTACCCCTGCAGGAAAACAAATGGGCACAAAATGCTACCCAACTAGATCAGACCAGTCACTTGCACCTGCGCAGTACCTCTTGTCAATCACAGGTGCCAATCAAATGGTCCCACGCCCAAAGGGGAACAGCTCATTTTAGAGAAAGGGGATAAAAACTCCTAGTCCTGGGAAGTCCGCCCATTTTTGGACGCCATGCTCTTTTTGACCACTTCTTCCCTTTTTGAGCCTTTTGAGCCTTGCCTTTGCACGTGGCCTGCTCCAAACTCTTCAGAATGTAATTTCTCTTCTAATAATGGGCCCTTGAGCCATTCTCTACTGCTCGCGCCTATTTCTACTTCTTTGAAATGTACTATCTCTTCGAATAAACTACTTTTTCAGTTACTTTACTCCGGCATCTCGTTCAATTCTTTGCTCGAGTTGCCAAGGACCTGGACTTTGCGCTGAGAAGGGCCCACTCTCCAACAACACCTCTGGGCAACGTGGCTGAGCCAATGATAGTGAGTCACCTGGAAATAGTCAGAGGTAGAAGAGAATGTAATCTACAAATAGAAAGAAATGGAAAGGGACATACATTTCTTATTCACAATTCTATTCTCTAACACCACATTTACTTCTATATACCCTTCTAGCTATCACTCAAACACATGAACTACCTATGACCATATCACGATGCCGTAAAAACTGTCAATCTCCTGATTCACCGTTTGGCTTTAATGAACTACTGCAAAAGCTACTTATTCTCTCTACATTATGAGTGTTCCTATGAACCTATCTTTTTATGCATTATAGTATAAGCCAAATAACAGCTGGAAAATGCCTTCCTCCTCTTAACCTTCTTTCTCCAAAGTATTTGTTACTCTGCAAGGCTTCCAGAACAAAATGTCTATAAAAACTTCTTATACAGTTCTTTCCATACAGAACAAAAAACGCTTACTGGATCATAAAATCACACTGGGTCCAGGGACACCCTAGTATTCACTGCAATTCTTTTTTTTTTAAGATTTTTTTTTTTAATTGAGGAACTGGGGGGATGGGAACAGTACTGGGGAATTGGGGGAAGGGGAACAGATAAGTTGCTGTCCTTTTGTTCTTCAGTCTAGTTGTGGAGGACATTGCTTCACTGGCCCAAGTTGG